CTGCCCCCTGTGTTGGCACTGGTGCTACAGACCCTCACTTGTCCTTGCAAGTCTCCTGGGTTACATTAAGGAAGCCTTTATGCTTATTGATGTTTCTACGTTTCACCATCTATTCTTACTCCTAGTTATCTACATCCTCCCTTTACTCAAACATGATTTTTTTGCTTTGAAAGGCTACATTGTTCTCAGATTCATCAGTGTACAGTATGGTGGATAGATGGACCCTTTATACTCTCAGGCCCACAGATCTCAGGCCTACCACATTTTAAACTCCAAATTTCTAAAGAGTCAAAGGAACTACTGAAGCAGTCAAATCAATCAGTCTCCATGTTCCTTGTCAGCAGAATTGGTGTCACATAAGACTCCTGCTTTTCTGTCTTCCCTGTTTCCTGCCAGAGAGCCAGAAAACCTGAAGCAATGTGAAACTGAAGAACAAATAATATAGTAGAGGCAATTTAGAACTAAGCTTTTGAGGTAATAAAGTATCAGTGCTGTCTTTATAGCAAGACCACAGCAACAGCCATAACAAGCACCAATGAACACCAGGCTCCATTAGACATGTTAGCATGCACGCAAGGTACTTGCACTGGTGACAGATATCCTAGTACTCACCAAGCACCTATTTATGGTCCTAAGATCATCCACTTGCCATCAACAAAAAATACTCTGGGGGATACAACAGAAACCTTCATGCCTGCCTCAGTTTTCCTATGTGCTTACCTTTCCTGAGCCTACGTGGATACAGGCTGGTGATAAATCTGAAGCCAGTGTCACACTAGCAAATACTTCATCATACTCCATTGGGCAGGCTCTCTGTGCTTATGAAATTAGAAACAATCATTTACAGGCAGAACCCTTTTTACACAACAGTAAGTTTCTAAAGAAGGTATTCCATGGTAGAAGGCAAACATTTTTTTCCAAGTTGGAAACAGCTTTGTGAGCATATCGTTATCTATGTGCTCAAATAAGAAAAGCTAGCTCTGAAATGATTTGTACCTTTGCTGGGGTTAAAACGAGAAAAAAAAAAAAGAGAGATACCTTTGAGATTGACACAGTATCAACTTAGCAAGCAACTATCTTAACAAGCAAAGCCATAATCAGCATTTAGAAATAAATTCTAAGAATTGTGGCACTTGTTTACCTTGTAGCCCTGTGGAAACAAAGTCTAAAGGCTCTGGGCTGAGAAAAGCTACATCTGCAAAAATGTAAAGGTGGCAACTGCAGACTGAAAATACTTCACTTGAAGTTTGCAAAAAAAGTCAGGAGGTACGACTGATGTAACTTAATTTCATGAAAACAAAATGTGTATTTCTACCAAGCCTACCCTCACAAATGGCATTTTTCTACAAAAATATCTGTAATGAACCGGTGTCAAGATGCCAATGCACTTCTGGCAACACCAACTGGAGTAGGTGATTAGAATTTATGCTGTGTAAAATTAACTTTTAGATTAAATGAAAATTATGAACCAAAATGCAAAAGCATTTATATGGCAATTCACCTAGGCCATTTGTTTAAAAAGTGTCAGAGCAAGTGAAAATAACGCAGTGGTCTGAAGAGTTCACAGACTATTAGCTCTGGCTATTCCAGCATCTTCCTTTCCAGCCCCAGAGCTCTTCCCACCAGAAATCCAAGGTGTACATCTGTGAAACCACTGACATACTGAACTGCCTTCATTTCATAAGACTAACTGGAGAACAGTAAGAGAAAATTAGAAAAAATCTATATAAAACTGAAAAATCTTCTCATTGCAGAATCAGATCTCAAGAAGGGGAAAACAGACATTTTGCTAGATTAGTCAGAATTTTTCTTGAAAAATTATGTCATGGGAAGCTTAGCAGAGTTGAGTGGAAGTACCCATCATCTTACAAGATTGAAATCTAAGTATTTCATTATTGACGTTATTTTGGAGATATATTTCACCATAGTGAAAAACCAGTTTTCTGAACAGAACATTGCTACCCCAGTTCACCTCTACAGTTCCGTTTAATTCTGGAATGTACACCAACAGTCTGCTGCTAGTAATGTCTACTTCCAGGTTTTGCAGAAGTGACATTCTAAATGTTATGATTTAAAAAAAAAATCTAAATATACTCCGAACATTTACTGTCGAGGCACCATCAGAAGTATATTCCACACTCTAGAATACTGCTTGTTGCATAAAGCTGTGAAATATGAGGTTCTACATTTTTTCAAAGTAAGCTTTTTATCTCCTCTAAGTTAAATGTGCTCATGAAAGGAGGTTGCAGCGAGGTAGGGTTTGGGCTCTTCTCTCAAGTAGTAATGATAGGACAAGAGAAAATGGCTTCAAATTGTACCAGGAGAGATTTAGATTGGGTATTAGGAAAAATCTTCTCCTCCAAAAGGGTTGTCAAGCATTGGAAAAGGCTGCCCAGGGAGCAGTGGAGTCACCATCCCTGGAGGTGTTTAAAAGATGTGTAACTGTGGCAGCTGGAGACATGGTTTACTGGTGGACTTCGCACTGCCGGGTTAATGATCTTAGAAGTCTTTCCCAACCTACACAATTTTACATTCTCATGTTTCTGTCCAACTCAATTTTTTTAATCCTACAGAGCCCCTGGAGATTGAGTTTGCAGTTGTCCAGGTCGCAAGAAGCACCTCCTCTTATCATTTTCAAAGATGTTGCCTTTAATTTTCATCATGTCAGTATCCTTACAAAAATTACACTGTTATGTGCTGCTGGTTTATACATACTGAAATCTGAAACAACCTCAAACATACTAGATTTGTTCTTGACCACTTATTACCTACTTACCTTTTTATATGGGAGAGACAAGGTTGAGCATAGTAATTCCGAGCTGAAAAAACTCCAATCAGTGTTACAGTGTTTTGTTAGGCGTTCCATACCACTGCTTTTTGAATATTTTGGTGGCAATGTGACTTCTGACACCCACTGAATGGAAGTTTTACTGTGCTGTCCGCTGAACTGCTCCTGACAGCTGATTAGCCATGTATGAGTAAATTGGAATTATCCCACCCAGTACTGTGACTGTAAACATCAGTAACTTCTGAAGTTCTGCAATGTATGCTCCATTGGATTTCTACAGTTTTAAGTCCTGCATAATCTAAGTAGCACCATTTTCACCCCACGTTGCTATCGGAATACTTACTATTTTCTCCAGTTTATTTGTATGCGTTAATCAGTAGTCCCAATAGATTTCTACCATAATTTATTATAAATCTGCATAATTTGTGATATTTAGCATTTATTCCTATTCTCCTCCCACCATCTCACCTCCTTTCCAGTGCTTTGCAGTCCACTTTACTGCATGCTTTATTTTCACGGTAGTAGCTTCTCAGACAACTTCAGGCTTTGTGAACATAAAGATCAGTTTCATCATACTGTGCTACGATTTTGTACTATAATTCTAGCAGACTGAGGGTCAGCTTTTATTATACCTTTTTTTTTTGTTTTGGTTTTGGGTTTTTTTGTTAACGAACATGTCATTTAGCATAGTACTTAAATTATTTTTTTTAAACTTACTATTTTATTCAGGTATCTATTTGCTTGAGAAGGTTTTTTTGGGGTTCATTTTACAGGATTTCTCCCTTATGCTTCAGCAACTCCTGCCCATGTAGGGAAAACCCTTCAAACTTCTTCAGGGCTTCTGGCAGAATTCCACTTAGACTTGCTGAAGTAACATTTTCTCTTAATTTTGTAAATTTAAGTATTCTCTCCTTTTTTGAATCTAAAATCTGATCTTTCTTCAAAAATCACATTGAAGTGTTTCAGCATCCTCTGTGGTGAGAACTGCAAAAGTACAATGATATTTTTGCATTTAAGTCCTTGCTCCCCTTTAATCAGGTGCATTTTCTCAAAAAAAAAATCAAAATCAATTACTTTAAACATTTTGTAGTAATTTAAGTATGAAAATAGAAGTGGGACTATTTGCAAAAAGATACATTTATCCTGCTCTATAAAGTAAATGCTTACTTATGTTACAACATTGTGAAGTCAATTTCAATTGAAACAGTGAGCCAGCTTCTCCCTTTTGTGAGTTATTCACAGAGCAGAAAAGGAAATAAAACCATATGAAAAGAGCAAAATACAATGGCAAAAATCACAGCCCTACAATAACTAAAAGTCACTGAATGCATTAACCCCTCCTCTTTACTCTTTGAACATCTGTGTCATTTCTGTTCACATACTTGATTTGCTGTGCCAGTCCCCTCCTTATTTTCTACATTCTACGTGTTAAGTGCCAATTTCAATACTACTTTTACTAGTTCACTATTGGGTGGATTTTATTTAATAAGGAAGACTTACTAAAATGAACCTTGTATCTTGCCATTTCATGCTGGTCCTGTTGCGCGTTCCTGCTTCTTTCATTTAGGGAAAACTGGTTCCTTTTTAATATATTATTTTAGTAGAAATACTTTTGCGTGGAGCTATCTCCTCTCAAGTTGTTCTTCTGGCATAGTATCAGAGGAATAAGGTAATTTTTGTCACCACCAATTAAAAAGTTTTACGAAACAGGACCGTTATAAAACAATTAAACCTTGCAAATGCAGTAGTCTCTAGGAGGGAAACCCTGGAGGAAATTCTGCTTATTAAAATTGCAATTTTACTTTCCATTAAAAAGGAGAATAAGACAACAGAAGATGGGTTGGCAAGACAAATTATTTCTTAATGTCAGTCGAGCTTATTTCAAATGAGATAACATATCTACACCAGGTTGGGTTCAACATATTTTTGTCTCCTCAACTCATTTATCTAATTCAGTCATCTTGATTATAGCCTCATGGACCTTCATTTTCACAGGAAGAATTTCTTAACAAACAACCTACACAACATGCTGATTACTGAACAGTTAATTCTAATTAACTTGGCTATGGCAAGAGAATTTTGATAAAGTCCTGGACTGCAAATACGGTTTGGTTATTCTAGCCAAACTTCTATAAAATCAAAACCCACAGCAGAGTCTCCAGATGAGACATCAAAGTGATAGGGATCTAATTTAAAGAAACAAATGAGAAAATTAAAATCACAAATAATTTATTCTTCCGTTAGAATTCATGGAGTACAGTTTTAAATAGCAATGAAGTACACAGTGGTAGAAAATTGGCACAGAACCTACAAGCTTTTCATTCATAATAATGTTCCTCATGCCATATCTGTTCAAATCTTGATGTGTATTTTCTGCTGACTTTAAGAAAACTGTTTTCCCTTTAAAAAGGATGAACAAATTGAAAATCTTGTCTCTATGTATAATGTCATACATATTAGGAACATCAGTTGACTTTCTTTTTTTTTCCCTTGAACATTGATTGCCAACTGAAAAAAACCAAAATATTATTTTACTCCTGGACTAATTTTAACTTTTATCCTTTATAAATGTTGCCAGGAATTCCTGAATGCATATATTCCTGCAGAAGAGAATATCCTTTTACTTATCTGATACACAGTTGCAGGACAGTCTCAAAACCAATTTTTTGTGTACTATGCTATTGATCAAGGTGCTGCCTCTATCTCACATGCAACACTAGAAGCATTAATGCAACTCAAAACAAAATTTGGCATTTACCTCACCAACAGGTTTTATATTTGATGTAATAAAACATCCCCTTGGTCTCATGTTAACCAATAAGAAAAGCAGACACACACAAAAAGTGCCCCCTTTTTAAAATTATTAACTCCCAGTTAGAAAAGTTGTCCTGGTTCCAGCCAGGACAGGGTTAATTGTTGCAGTAGCCAGGAGGGGCATGGCTGGGACCGGAGGTTATTCTGCACCACCTTGGGTCATTTAGCCTGGGGTGATTCAGGAATTCCTGGGCTCCACGTGGTGAGTAACTGTGTGTGACTCATTTGCCTCTTTTTTGTACCCTCTGTCATTAGTATTGTTGCTGTTACTGTTTGTTTTCTGTTTTCTTATCTCATTGCTGTTTACAGTAAATTGTTCTTATGTCAACAGGTGATCTTTACCTTGTGTGCCTCTAATTCTCCTCTCCAGCCACCCCAGCAGAGGTGGAGGGGGAGCAGGAGCAAGTGAGTGGCATATGGTTTGGAGTGTGTCAGTGGGAACACAAAATTGGGGAATACCATTCCTAAACCACAACAAAAGTTTAGATAGGTTTTACAAAGTCCTCTAGGCTATTTTAATACATAAAAATTATTCAACTAAAGGTTAAAATACACTTATACAATACAGTCCTGTTCTCCATATTCTTTTTCAAGTTCTTTGCATATTCAAGCCAAGTAAAATTAACACTTGTCATTTTCTTTGTTATTGCAATTAATAAGAGGGATTACAGCTTGCTTATGCAAAGCTCTGACAAAACACTTGAGAAATAAAACCCAAACGTTTATCTTGTTACCCAAAAAACATTGCAGAAAATTGTCAAACTGTTAGAAACAATTTTTACAAAACCGCTTCACTCAGAAAAATTGGAAAGCTTAAAAAATTAATCTTTGCACAAGACTATATTACACTGTCTTTAATTATGTTCCCATTTAGATAACTGGGATTCTCTATCTTTGTAAGTGAACCTATCAGTGATGTAGGATGCTCTCCATCTTTTTTCACTGTTATCTTGATCTTTCACTGTTATCTTGATCGTACACCATTTCGAGACTAATACAATCAAGCACTTACCATGTCCTACCCATTTTAACAGTAGATTTGTTATCCTGCCCAGCGATTAGTGTACTGTCTTGCATATTCACCCCATGAAAAACATTATATACAAAATATTGCTGCTGTAAAAAGTGTGTATTTCCCCTTTCCCCCCTACAAAAAAAATCCATGGAAAAAAATATTAAATTCCCATAACCTTCATAAACATACAAAGCTGTTCACACCTTTCAGTCAGTAACAGTCTATTTGACATACAGTCCTCAACTCACTGCAAATTGTTATGTCACAGATTTTCTGTCCAATATTGCCATCTAGAGTAGAGATGTGAAATCAGTTTCTGAGAATCTACAGTCTTTAATAATTAACCCATAAAGACTGTATACCGTAACACAGCCACAAGATTTTTCCAAAAGCTAGGTGGAATGGGAGGTTCTCATCTTGGGAAGATGTCCACAGTGCTGAGGAGACAATATGGCTGCTAACAAATATTGCCTACCGGAATGTGAGTACTTTTTCACTGTTGATAATTTCCATACTGACCCTAAAAAAAAAATTCAAAATATATAATTAGACCACAAGGCACATTTTCCTGTATTAAAAGCTGAAATCAGAAGACCATCCAAATAAACTGTGATGTTAAAAGGTGGAAACAAATAACAATAAATGATAAACTGATATAAGTAACTGGTATAGTTTCATCTCACTAAAAATCCTTTGTGCTTTGATGTAAAAGTAAGACCAATGACACGGATTTAAATCCAGGAACCTGGATCAAAAGAGTATACCTCTACATTCAAAAGACTGCTGTGAAATTTGCAGAACATCATCAAAAAATAAGATGGGGATTACTTCCCACCTGAACTTTGAAAATTATTTCAAAAGGACAAGGTCACCTAAATTCAAAGTAATTTAGGAAACTAACCATGACACAGAGATACCTAAAAATATTCACCTATCAAGCATTACAGAATTGTACATGTATCTCAAAAACCAAGGCACATCCCAGTGAATGTGAAGAACTAGTCCACATATCCTATGGGAAGCAATTATTCCACAGATCCAATACACAGAGTTATTACCCTTATTGATATTCTCCTTCTTTTGAAAGAATGTCATGTACTGCAGAGGTGGGCAGAGGTGAAAGCATCAATGCTACAAGCTTACCATGATCCTTCACCACAGGGTTCAAGGCTTGCAGAAGAAAGCACTGTGCTAGGAAGCCCCTAACTGGAGTCCTGCCACCATTCTAAGTACCATCACGATAAAGTCGAATTTTAAATTTCAGTTTTATGTTGCAATGTTAGTTTTGTTCCATTGTAATATAACAATCAGTCATGAAGAAGAGTTTCACAACAGCTGCTAGATGAGAATTTAAGCAGCACAATTCCTATGAGAATGGCTAGTATGAAAGAGAGGTCTTCTATAATTGAGTTTCCCAGTGGAACTTAAGACTGCACAAACTAGATGAGTAGAGCCTATCTACAGAGAGGGTTATCCACTCCTACTGTAAGAAAAACTGGAAGAAACTCAGCAAATTGTGATTAAGTTTCCTTGACCCTATATTTGCCAAAACCAAAGAATTTTGCTGTAGCTTATTGTTTGCAGAGAAAGTTACCAGTTCCGTGCATTAACATTTTGTTTATCTGATAAATAATTAGAAGTAACTGCATCTCTAAACTACCACACTGAAAGACTTTGTTCCTTCTTCCTCGTCTTATTTAATTTCTGTAGAAAGCAAGCCAACTGTTCTCCTTTAAAAATGTGGGCAACTGTGACTATTCTCACTTCCAAGGGAAAGTTTTTCTTGAAAGTTCAACTGATCTTCTACTGACATATCAGGATTTTATTTAAATGCTAGAACCTCAACTTGATCATTTAGTTGATCTTCATTTTATTTATGCCAAGGAAAGTAACAGTGTATGTTTTAACAACATTTCTGAACAATTCATACTGCAAAGATTAGTTTTTTTATAGTTTAGTACCTTCTACAGGAATAAAACTTCTGCTTCATCCTGTAATTCTAAAACAGATTTTTTTACAGGAGTCCCTCACTACAACTCCAGCCTGAAGTTATGGTGGGTTGTTGTTTCTTTGTTTTAAACTTATCTTAGCAGTGGTAGGAAGGAAGCACTTGATTTTTGGGACACTGCTTTCCCATGTTCGGTGCCCCCTGATACTGCTCAGAGAAATCTATGCACAAATAGGTTTCATATCTTCCCGTACAGCTCTACAGCTAAAAGACCTCAGTTGCGCACCTGAGATGCTTTTGCAACTGGAGAGGAAGATTAGGATTAGGATTTGTGTTTGTGGAAAATCAATTCAACTATTTCTACTGCAAAACAGTGATGAAAAATGATCCACCATTAGATTTAGGAACCTTGTCTTTCATATTATTCATTCACCATGAGGTTATGAAACCTTATACTTAATTTTTACAGTCAAAAAAGATTGCTTGGAGGGCCTCACTTTGCCAAATTGCATTAAAACTTAGCAAACTCAGGAGAGAATGACTAGTCACAACTCCAGACAAATGATTCTGGGTAACTCACCAAGAAATAAAACCCGGGAGAACTGTATATACATATCTGAGAGATCATGTCCTCAAATTCATTAGTTTAAATGAATAAGAATCTTAAGATTATTCAATGAGTGTGTAAGAACCACAACTTTCTTATCAAACGAAAGAATACCTGGTCGTATCCATAAGGCCTCTGCTGGGGTGGCTGGGGTGGCCCAGGCTGCGTGGGTCTGTATCCCCCATACTGCTGGCCTTGTCCTTGTGGATAATTGGGATACTGAGGTCCTGGACCACTCTGGGAGGGGCCTGGAGATCATGCAAATGGAAAAAAAAAAAAAAAAATAAAAAAAAGACTATTTAAGGTGTTGGAAAGAAGAGAACAGTAAAAGCATTGAATTTTACAGCTGAGCAGGGTTAAGAAATATCACTACTGTGCAGTTAGGTCTTTTGAGGGGTCCTCCTTTCTCCCTGGAAAGCACCTTTGCTGACAGGGCCTGTGCCCCAACCACAGAAACGTCTACCTTTATTTATATATTCATTATGTAATACCAATGCATGCAAGTTCCACAGATGAGGTCATAGGACAGAGAAGAACAAGGCAAGAAATGATGAATGATAAACATGAGCCCTTTCCAGGATTTAGGGAAGCAGTCTCCTCCTGCTGTATGTTGCTCCAGTTACAGAAGTTTATAATGCCAGGAGCAGCCAGATAATCAGCATTTGGACCTTCTGAAGAGACCAGCAGCACCTCACTGCCAGAGAGTGAGTTCTCACACCACAGCAGGCAATCATAAATGGGACGTCAGGTAAGCAAGTTCTATGCATACAATGCGGGATGTGACAACCAGTAAAAACTATTGTGGGATGGAAAAAAGCACCATTTACTCCATACTCCTCTGGTAATATTAGCTTTCCAGAAAAAGGCTAGAAAAACATCCAAAACTTTGACTCCAGTCTTTTTTGGCTGTAAAAGGAAGTTGTTTTTTTTGTCAGTACAAACTCTTTCTGCTACTATTCACAGGGACTCAGCCTTTCTAGCACTGGAAGCTGCCATAAGACAGTGCAGCCTCCAATACTGGGAGAGATGGTGTACTGTGTATTTCAGTGGCACTCCATATGAATCCTTCACAGTGGATCTGTTAGATTTTTCAACATCACCCCTGAAAAACAGTCTCTCCATTTTTAAGAGCTGAAGATGTGCACCTTTTCAGAAGTGCTTTCTTTTAAACAAACCAACACTTTTTTTCCCTCCCCTCAGAAGAAACAGATGTGTTGATATGGTGCTCGAGAGGGCTAGTTTTAGGTACAGGCACTGGACATTTAGATGACATCAGCTGGTAACTCTTTCAGTAGTATCTAAGATAGTCAAAAAGTTGACCTGGAGAAAAAAAGCTCCAAAAGCTATTACCATTCTCCTCAGGCTTCAAATCCCCTTGAACTATGCAGTTTCAGCTTTCTACAGTGAAACAAAACCTTAAAGATTGATAATAATGACTGAGATATTGATTTTTTTTTGCAAATTAGAAAGCAATTAAATATTAAATTGAGCAAGAATACGACACCCTAAAAAGTGCTGTGTTCATCTGACAAATGAACATGGGTTTATTTATTCACGGTAACCCTTTATAGCTGAATTCTAAATACTCACTGACAGATTTTATAAAATAAAAATGGAACTTCAATAACTATTTCTGCTAAAACCCAGAAATTTAAAAGTATGCTATTTTGTTTTACGAATTACATTGGGTAAGTCCCTCCATCAGTCTTCCTTATCCCTTTTCTTTTAGTATTTCTTAACCTAAATTTTCTGAATAGGTCAGATTTTATTTCCTTAATTCCATATTCAGAGCAGTGAGGTATATGGACCTCCACTCTGGTCTTCATTCTATTCCTATGTTATGTTTAGAAGGGAAGCATCTGAGTATTATTTTAGAATAAATCTAATTCATCCATAACCTCCAAAAGGAAAGCTTGCTAAATCTCAGTGGATCCTCTTAAAACTTAACTCTGTCTCAACATAACTAGACTTAATGTGAATCTGGCATTTATCTACATGGCAAACAAATCATCCCTGCACTTCCTCACATACCCACAATATTGACAGTTTTAGCAGTTAAACCTACAAAAAAGCTAAAAGTTAAAATATATATAGACTGTATGGAATTCCAGAGAACATCGTAGTTATGGAACTTCAGAGATTTTTTCTTCTGTGACAAATATTTATGACTTTACAATGTGCAAGCATGTAAAACTTAAAAGAGCAGTATTTTCAGTATACTCTTCTGACCTCAAGTTTTCAGAAGTATTACACAAACATTATACACTACCACTTTCAATTTCCTGTTTAAGAGGTTTTCCTTGAATCCAGGGACTACACTATTGTACTCGTGGCAGAGGATTTCTCGTTCCTGCCATGTATCAGAAGGTGTGCACTACTAGTGAAATTTGTAAGACAAACTCTTGTGAAAGTTGCATTTCTGTACTGATCAGTAAAAGAATTTTCAAAGAATGATTCATGTACGTTGGACGAAGTTTTAAACTAGTTTTTAAATAATTTTGTTCTAATTGGCAAATCCACAGATGAAAGGGTATAAATGGCTCTTTGTCATCTTTCTGACTGTGTTCACCTACAGAGGACAGCAAAGAGCAGAGTCCTTCTGGGTCCTTCTAAATTAAAGACACCCATTATAACGCTGCTTAGTCAACTTCAGTTTTCTGTGCTACTGCACTCTCCTAGACTGCCAAGAGACCTAATTCCCAAAAGAATCTGTCTTCTATGCTTTCTTGTTTTGGCCCAGTGAAAGGGCAGGCATACAGCTATTCTGCACAGGGCTGGCCTCTGGACCCAGTAAAATAGGGATAGAATAACATACAACAAGGGTCTCTCAGTCTTTTCTGTGACTGCTGTCTGTGTCTTTAGGTTCTTACCATAACCCTGCTGTTGTCCTGGATAGCCTTGTTGGCCAGGATATTGCTGCTGTTGTGGTGGGTAACCCTGCTGTTGGGGTGGTCCTTGATATGCATCTTGCTGCTGACCATATTGCGAGTTTCCTGTAAGATGATTGCAAGAAAGCAAAAACTTATAAAGATACCTATTTTATTATTTTTTTTCCTTCTAAGATGCACAGCCAACAACACAAGAACAAAATGAAAATGCAATATTGATTTCAAAAACTGAACAAAACAAAGAAAACTCAAACCAAACAGAAGGAACTCGGCCAAACAAACTGCAGTTAAAGCCAATTTTGCAAAGTTGAACTGCAGCATTTTCAGCATCTCTGCCAAACGAGCATTACATTTACTGGAACATCACAGTCATAAGATCATGACTACGCTAAATAAAATAAAACAAAAAAAAGACAAAATTAAAGACAGCTACAAGAGCACAGACTAGCTACACAAGATCAGCAAGCTGTTTCCTAACAGCACTATAATTATACAAAATATATACACACACAAAAAGATATACAACTGAACCAACAAATTTATGTTTAAATAAAAATTTCCATTGAGGTAAAAAAAAAATCTCTAGAGTGTTTTAGTCATTTTACTGTTGTTAGAAATGGCAAATTGTGGTTATATATTTTTAGGTGTTTGCAAGAAATTATTCTGAAGGCTTCAAGTTCCCTGCAATTTTCAAGACAGCCAGCAACTAGTATTCTACAAGAGCTTTGCATGGGTATAAGTTGTGTTGTGCGAGAATTTTTGTTCCCGTTGCGGGTGGGGGAGGAAAGGGAATGTATGTGCGTATGTGTGTGAAGGTATATAGATACCTCCTTCGTAGTAATGTTGTGAGGAATCCTCATAAGGCCTATCGTAGCCTTGTTCAGGATACGACGGTTGCTGATAACCGTAATCATTATGACCTACATCAATTCGACAAGAGACAGGAAGAAACGTTAATGGCCTCTGAGTGAAAACCCTAAAAATATTTCATTTCTCAGAAAAATGAAAAAAAAAAAAAATTTTCAACTGGATATACATGAAGAAGAATTTTCAATTGTACTAGCCAAAGACTTATTAATATGATTTCCTTTCATATGAATTAACATGTGACGGGGGAAAAAAAAGCTTAATGCAGTAGTTCTAGCAACATCACAGCAAGGGATGGTCTTAACCTTCTGATAATCCTTGTTGGGGGAGTAGGGGGGGAAGTACTTTATCTTTCACTCAGAAAAAAATGAAAGCATTTAGGCCTTTCACATGTAAATAACCTGAATTAAATTAGAATGAACAAAGAAAGCAATTATCATACTTTGTCTAACACCTGTTCTGCTGATCTCCAATTCAAAAGCATATGCTAAAAGCAGTGTGAAATATAACAAATAAAGCTCAATAAAGTTATGAACCACAGTCTACATTAAATTCAGCTTTTAAGTGACAGAAAAATAACATTCTCAAGGTTTTCCCTACAAACAGAATTCCTACTTTAAGTCTTAAGAAAACTTTTCCTCTTATATTCCAGTCTTGAGTAGATTCATTACAAACAATCCTTCCTATTCAGAGACTACAGGCATCTCTGATTAAGAAAGCAATATATGCAGTAAGCACCCCACCTGTTGTTGGTTTTCATACAAACATATTTTGTCTTACAAATGATCAAAATATATCTTATTGATAATTTGGTCAAGAAAACAAGCCAAAACTTTGTTTACATTTGAAATTTAATAATACAAATTTGGAATAAAGTTTTGAAATAAGGAAAGGAGAAAACAGTTCTAAAACTCAGTTGGCCTTTGTTATTAGTTCTGCAATTGTACCATACGTCACCGACTGAATCTTATATGAATACTTAACCATTAAAATAATTCTTAAAACATATTGTCTTTGCATTCTATGTAAGAGTGATAATGAGGTGATGCCAAAGATTACTCTTTGGAAGGAACAGGTCTTAGAAGCAATCTGTGTTGTCACAGAGCTGTTGATGGTAACACCAAATTGCCCTTACTAGAGTAAATTGCTGTAACCATTTAGTGTTCACGTGTGTAACATAAATGTTCCAAAATGAAAGCCTTAATGAATTAATGCAACTTGTAAAATAACTGCACATACATCTCCAAAAATTAACACACGTAAGCTTAGATGGATGTGTCTTCATGTATCTTAAAATCAGTTTAATGGATATTAAATTCAAACAACTAACTTGTATCCCTCTATTTGCAATGAGTAGTTGCTTTGGCAATGACACAGCTTTACTTTGTATATATTTTTAAAACACTAACATATACCATACTCCCTGAACTTAGTAAGATACCATTAAGTTGCACACACGGTTATCACAGTAGTCATGAGTCAGCATCTTTGTTCTCCCAGTCTCTGCTCAGCCTGAAAACAAGTTAATTTCAATTTTTCTAACTTATAACACAATCCAATAACCTTCAGCACTCTGTATTCCAAGAGGTAGGAGGAGAGATTTATGAAATTCAAAGTTTCAGTCTTGTCTTGAAAGCACTGAGGGGACAGCTAAAGAGGATCCACAATCTCTTCAGGGCAGGGACCATTTCATTCCTATATACAAATTAAACTAAAGGCCCACACCATAGCAGCAATAACACATTTGTACGACTCACATGAAAACTAAACACTAAGTGAAAAAAATATAATATTTACAGAAAAGTCACATATTTTTAGCAAGTTTTTTCAGTTCAATAAAATTTTTAATAAAAGGATATCGCCCCCTCTCTTATTGATAATAAAGTAATGACTGTTTTCATTCATCTCAGTCATACTAGATATGCTAAGGAACTCTCCATACTTTTAGATAAACCAATTATTCCAATTCATTTTTAAATACTAAAACTGTTGTTAAGAGTTTCAAATGGGAGTAATACAAATTACATGCTTAAAGTTGCAAATTTAACTAGTCACAGTAAGTCACAGTAATTTAAACTGTAGTAACAATTCCGAATTTGGAAGGTTTTGTAAATGTGAGGTATGATATCCAATTACTATTCTTGCCTCATCCTCAAATTTTGGGCATATGACTACATTAGTATTGGGCAGGTATAGAAAATGGGAAAGTTAACATTTATGAGAGATTACCATCAGGGTAATATTGCTGGTTCATGCCTTCTGGAGGACCTTGTCCACCATGACTGTATTGGTCCCCATAATAGTCTTCCTGGCCTGAGTACTGCTGTGGTGGGCCTGAAAAACCACAACCAGTCAATACGTAAATAACTTGTTTTCTCTGTTATAAAGCTGCTAATTTCTGATTTTAGTATGAGAAATATTTCTCAAATGTATTCCCCACCCATATTGTTGCATTACAGACAACATACGTAATCCGGTTGAATTAAAAAAAGAAACAAATGTATCTATCTATATATACACACACAGTTGTTTGGCTGGACTAGACTGAGAACATACATATCAAACTTCAGGTCTGAGCTCATTTTAGGAATGCATATAGCATACTAAGGTGTTAAAAATAAAATTATTCCTTGGCAAAAAGGACTGGAAAGAAAAAAAATGAGAAGCAATACTGTGGAACATTGTTCCTTTTTTTTGTAATTGAGTGAATTCAGAATCAAGTAGGTACTCTGTTCCTTTTCTGTAGCTATCATTTAAACATCAAAACAGAATTCTGCATCAGCATATCTGAGACGTATAATTTCAGAATGCATAATCTCAGAGAGAACCAAAAAAAGAAAAAAAAGAGAAATATTTGTCTTCGCGTTTCATGGTGATACCAGTAGTCTCTTGCTGCAAGAACCACCCTTAAAAAGTAATAAAAAGAGTGTGCAAACAAAGTCTGTGACACCAAATGATTTGATCAAAATTTGGTGTAGGCAAGTGATGTAAAATAGTTTTAAAAATGGTTATTTAAAATCGATGTAAGTATACTGAAGTGAATTTCTACCTTGCTGTGGTGGCCTGTATGGAGGGATCTGTCTCTGACCCATCATGTGATTTCCTTGGTTAACTTGGCCCATCATTCCCATCGGCGGCTGCTGCCCCTGGTAGTGCTGGCCACCTGCCTGCGGCATGTTGTACTGCTGGGAGGGAGGCTGCTGGTGCATCATTGGACCTGCAAAAGGACAAGCAGCAAAAATGTTAAACATGCAAAAATTATTTGTGATTAAATCTTTCCAAAAGAACATGGAAAACCCAACCTTTAAATACGGACCAAACAAGGCTCTGTATTTCTAGTGCTCTCATAAGGATTTGTTGTTTCTGGACCTATGCACATGCAGGTGATCAATTCAGTAACCAAACTACAAAACAGAAGTCAGCCTAAATAAGGTTGCTTTTTAGATGATTTTTCTTTAAAATCACAGACATTAGTTTACACATGCACAAAGATACTGAAACACTTCTACCATTTTTGGTTTGTTTTAAAAAGCATGTTCAAAAAAAAGTGTAGGTGAAAACCTGATGGTGAAACTCTGGTAAGTCATAGAAAAATTATTCAATATTTGTGAAATCCTCAGGGCATAGTTTTAATACACACATAGTTGTTGTTATAGTCCACCAACAAGCCACTGAGCTGTTATCACAAAATACACAATTTTATTTAGCCTGTAAAGACAAACCACATGTACCAGTCAGGCAATCTCACGACAGGCATATGCAGAAAAACTAAAACCAAAATATATTCTTTCATATCAAGCTGCACCAAGTTTCTGTGAACCACGGAAAGAGACCAGGACAGATCAAGTACTGTCCATACTTTATCAACTGAGAAAATCTGATTAAGGTTGTACTTGGGAGAAATGCAAATTTCAGTAATGAAAACAGACAGTTAAAGAGCACCCTACTGACACCAAACGGCAATGAAAATGATGATTATGCCATTTCATTATATGAGATTGCAGGTTAGATTGATACAACATTTAACAAAGCACAGCTTCTGTGCTTCTTCTGTAGTACCACCTCAGAAAAGAGTTATTCCAGTATTAAAAATATGAGGAGGAAAGGGTTGTGACAAGGAGCTAAACTTTTTAAACAGCACATTAATTCAAACTGCTTAACACATACTACACACTTTATAAAGGTGAAATCCTAAGCTTTTTTTGCCTTTTTAAAAAATAATTTATTTTATAAACTCTGAAGACAGCAAGTAACTAGCCTCACTAAAACCCAAAACAAATCATGACACCAAACTAGCAGAGCCACTCCTAAGCGCAATCCCAAGAGAAAAACGAAGATATCACCTACTTTTCTGTGTGCTCGATTTTGTCATTCCATTCTGTATTTTTAAATAAGTAGGTGCTGGAGCACAAGAAGAAATTCCTGTGTGAAACCACAGTACTGGAAAATTACCTAGATACAGTCAATAGTGACAATGGATTTATATAAGTAAAGGAATACACAGTCAGATCCTGTCTATGTGCGGTTATGAGGGAAAGTTACGACAAATAATTAATGTCTGAATTAATTTGTATGAATTCAAAGTGCTTTAGTTAAATCCCATTAAACCCCTGTGTGGGATCTCTCAGTGAGAAGTAAAGTGGCGTAAGCTTCATTTTACCCTGAAGATAAATATTGGCCACACTTAAAAAGATCCAGTTATGCTTCTATCCTTCAGCATGGCAAGTTTCTGTTTTAAAGGTTTCTATTTTAAAGTGTAAAAAAATTGCTTAAATTGAGATGTGATTATTTTTCACTTGGCAAAAATGTTTCATTTTTTGATATTCTAAATGAGTTCGTAATTTAGATCATTCCATTTCACTGCTCCTCTGTTTGGAGGTACTGAGAATCATTAGGCAGCCTTGAAAAAAAATAAAAACTTGTTGCCATAATATTCCTAGATCTCAAGAAAGCTTGTTAATTAACAATATTAATATTAGTCACAATACAATGTGATAAAATGTGTTGGGTCCCCATGGTGCAATGTAGAGGTTTTCTGTTTGCTTTTTAAATTAGAACTTCATTAACGCTTTGTAGAGCCACAATGAGAATTCACTACCCTGTATCAGGCTGTGTTGTGTTCATAACAGAAAGCCTGGCTTCCTTCCAGTTTGGTTCACATCTCCCTCTTATTAAGAAGATACCTAAAAGAAGCACCATGGTCTCTATGGTCTCATGGAACATAACCCTTTTATGCAGTAGTTTTGAGGGGTGAGGGAACTTCAAATTTGTATTTCCTTTAGAAAAATCAAGCCTACAAGAAAGCTACATATATTCATTGTGTAATACTTAATATGACATAAAATCCCAAAACCTAATTAAAAACGTAGACTACTAGCTCATGATCTAATTGGACCTGGACAAACTTGATAAGTGGGCCCAAGAGAACACCAGAAATTTCAGCAAGTCCAAGTGCAAGGTGCTGCATCCTAGGTCAGGGCAGTCCCAGACCTGAGCACAGATTGGGAAACTCATTGAGAGCAGCCCTGTGGAGAAGAACTTCAGGGTTCTCATGGGTGAAAAGCTGGACATGAGCTGGCATTAGGTGCTCTCAGCCCAGAAAGCCAACCATGTTCTGGGCTGCACCAAAAGAAGTATGATCAGCAGGTCAAGGAGGTGATTCTGCCCATCTGGAGCGCTGCATCCAGCTCTGAGGTCCCCAACACAGGAAAAACATGGACCTGTTCAAGCAAATCCAGAGGAGGGCCACCAAGAGATGGAGCATCTCTCCTACAAAGACAGGCTGAAGGAGCGTGGAGAAGGCTTCAGGAAGACTCCATTGTGGCCTCCAGTACCTGAAAGGGGCTTATAAAAAGAAGGGAAAGGGACTTTTCATACAGGCAGACAGTGAAAGGACAAGAGGTAATGGATTTAGATTGAAAGAGGGTAGGTTTAGACTAGATGTTAGAAAGAAATTCTTTACTGTGAGAGTGATGAGGCACTGGAACAGGTTTCCCAGAGAAGCTGTGGATGCCCCACCCCTGGAAGTGTTCAAGGCCAGGCTGGATGAGGTTCTGAGCAAGCTGGGCTAGTTGCAGGGGGTTGGAACTAGATGATCTTTCAGGTCCCTTCCAACTCTTATCATTCTATGATTGTGTAATACTTTCTAATATTTGTAGCAATTGTTTCTACAACCCCCTTAAAACACAGCTCTTGAACCTCTAATCAGGTCACAAAAAGCTACACTTGGTGGAAGTCATGATCTCTTCCAGACTTGGAGATATCACATACAAAGTTCACAAAACTGCGCACTGCAAGAGAATGCTTGTTGCTTTCAAAAACTCTGCATAGAAACTCTTTTTTTGTGAATTTCTAGAACTATTTATTTCAGAGAGGACAAAGTATCTGATTTGTAGACAGCTAAAAATGAGTCCAAGAAAATATTGTGTAGGGTTATCTCTGTAAAATATGCAAGTACACAAGTAAACTATTTATTGGATTTACAAGAAACTATTTAAACTTTGGTAGTACAAAAGTCCTGTAAATGTTCCTGTATGTTCGGAAGGCAGTTTTCACATGTCAGTATCCTGGAAGTATTCCTGGGATAAAAGTCTGAAGATGCTAACTAGTAATATTGTAGGTCCTGTGAGGAGCGCAGGCAATTTTTGTAGCCATTAAACAGGCATTTGAAAATTGCATGATGTAGATCCAAATCAGTCTTATGCAGTCAGGGAATGTATAAAGCAAGCCAGATAACAGATGAAAACTGAACTGCTCTTTGTTCAATATAACTAGTCTACATTATCAAGAATACACCACATTTCTGTTTAGTAGGTGTAGACAACTTTGAAATGAGCAGTTGAGGAAAAAAAAACCTCCCTGTGCTCCAGACAATATCTCATAAGGAGGCCTCATGTACAGGGAAGAAAAGGTATGTAGACTTAAGCAAAAATGGGCTTATACCTAATCTTCCTGTAAGTGCAGCGACCCAGTGGAAGCCTCCTGACAAGAGAGGACTTCAGAAAAATGACAACCTAGTCTTCACAAATGTAAGATAAATACAAAGAAACAGAAATGCAAGTAGGTCCCAGAGAAAGCTAACAAATCGGAGAGCAGAAATGCATCGACGATGAAAGAGCTGCAGAAAAGTTCAGTGGTTTAAAAATGTCTCCTAGCATTGTCCCTTCTGCTGAAACTCAGGTACTGGCAGTAAATGCTATGAGAGGACAAGATAACTGTTGACATGGTTGAAACTTCTGAAGAAGCAGAGGAAGCACATACAAATGAACGGGTGACTCTGCTGTTCTGACTGGGAACAGGCAGGTATGACCAAAAAGCAGCACTACAAGCTATTCTTTCTTCAATCTTCAAAATTATGTTGATCTTGTTGCTCAGAAGTCTTCTTTAGGCATTTCACAACGTGAACTTGTATTGATAAAGCAACTGGTTATCCACATCTAGAGTACCAGCAAAGTCCACCATGCCAGACTTGCCATGGTCAATCTCATCATTGTATCCACTGATACAAAAATAACAAAATATATACTGCTGTAGCAGCCCTCAGCAAAACTTTTTCTTGTTTCTCTACAAATGTTTACAAAGAATGCTTGTTTTTAAACATAAGTGATGGCTGTAACTTGCAAGAGCTACTTAGAAACTAAAGGGTGAATTTAACTTGACAAATGCTACGATTCAGATGTACTTGGTCAAATGAACCAAAATCTTTAAGCTGTTTTAACATGAGGGGCAGTTCAAACACTGTCTCAAAAGACCTGGAGGATACAAACCTTTTTGCTACTTCTAATGCATGCCTTAAGCTGCAAATAAAGACAGTAGACACTCCTCCACACTTGCTTACTCCACAAAGTTCTCATCTCAAACTGAACTGTCATTTTGGGGATCATTTAAAAAAACAGTATATAAAATGTCATACAAAAAAATTCCTTAGTTATCAATGATGTCTTTCATGTTTTACACCAGGAAAGAAAGATGAAAGAGCAAGCTCTGTGGCAGCTGTTTATATCTTGTTTTTTCATGATAAAACTACAGTGTCTTCTACAGCTAGATATCCTACAAATTCAGCTATAGCATGATGGCATTTCAGAATGTGGTGGTAATTTCATTTTCCTTTAATAGGTTAGATGTCAAAAAAAATTGAGACTTCCCTGCTTTCTCCATGACATCTTGACTACGGTAAGAAGTCAAGGTATTGAAACGTAACAGTCTCTGCTTACATGGGAATGAACAGATGGCAAGACATTCACAAAAGGTATTGAACCTCAGAAATCACTTTATCTTGGTCTGTCATACCCTGAATACGTTTATATTTAAGCTAACATTGGATGTTCCTATCTTTATGCTCCTTTTTTTATGTGGACAACAAAAGCACAGGAATCTGCACCTGTCTCATCTCTGACGTCTCCATGATCTCCTCATATTTGCTTGTAAGTAAAAGAGCTCTCAAATTTTGATGGAATTTTTTTAAGTTTATATAAATGAAATTCACTAAAAACAATCTCAGCACCAGATTTGATAACTGGTCTCCTGGAAATTATCAAGTCAAGATAATATTCTCTTATTGAGTTCACCTGTTAAAAGTAACCTAGTTCCTCTCCCTTATCCCAAGCAACATATAATGCTCATTAAATACCGACTGGGAGTTTGGCAACTTTGCTTCAAGCACTTCTGGCAAGGGAACAGAATCCTAGCAAAAGGATCCAAGAAACAGAGTCTCTGAGATGGTCAAGCTTAGCAGAAGGATCTGAGAAACAGTTTCGGAGATGGCCAAGCTATAATTTCCTGGTCCTTACTTTTAAAGTGTATTAATTCTACTGTTTAATATTATTATTCTCTGACTGTGAAAGATCTGGTCAACATAAGTAAGAGAAATTTTCATGTAAGATTCAGGTTTCAATAAAGCCATGGTTACACCTCCCCTCGGAAAAGTCAAAAGTTGACAACTTGAAATTTTTTATTCAACCTAAGTAGCTTCCCATACAAGAAAGAAAAGATACATTCATAAGAAAGGAGTTTCTTCCACATTCACCCAGTTCCTGTTGCTTCCTATCTTTTCCAAAAAGTTAGCCAATATTCCTTGCAGATGTCCCAAGCTGCTAAAATAGTTTTTTAATCAAGAGTCATCTACAGAATCTTCCACTTGAAACATTCTGCTTCCTAAATCAAAAATTACTAGAATTCCTCTTTTAGCTAGACTGACTATATGAAATCAATACCACAACAACTTTGCTTCTCATTTAAGGTATTCCTCTGGCTAGCATTTGATAAACTAGCACAAATCAATAATGACTTCACAGTGGAAACAGAAAGTAAATCCAACAATGAGTTCTGTTACTACACATTTTATTTCTTAATTAGCATTTTTTCATTTTTTTTCTTACTAACACCATCTGCCTCACAAAGTGTATATACAGCAAGATGTTCTCCTAGCAAACGCACATAAAAAGTTATGCTAAAACCACCCAAGTGTTAGATCAAACCTTGCTGCGTGTTATGGTGTCTTTATCTATTATATAATACTACACTTTTTTTCTTCCCTCTAAAAGTACTGGCTTCAATCAGTACACACAGCAGATATTACTCACTGAAAAACTATTTCAATATTTTGTTTCCTCCTAATTGTTCATGTGAGATGCCATGCCTAGCAAACACTGAAGACAGAATTATTAATTTACTCATCAGTTTTCTTATGGTACCCATAAGTAAAATGTCCAAATCTTCATAATGAATATACTTTCACAACACTCCTGTGAAATCAGATAGTATCATAATCTCACCATCAGATTCATTCCTCTACAGATGAGGAACCCATGTAGGGGAAGATTAAGGTCAAAAACATCTACTAATTTTTAACAGCCAACTTGAGATGCTAAGACCTCATCTTGAGGAATATTTATAATTATATTTAGCTAGTGCTGTCATTAATTAACAGATGTAGTAGGATCACTCATTCTCAGTATGGATCACCCCTTTAAGACAAAGAAACAAAGCATGCTTTGGGGTTCACAAATGTCTCCTGACAACAATACTGAGGTTCAGAAATTTTGTTCATTTCTGTTTCTGAATTGCAGCACATGCTACCAGTTAAGAAACCTTTGTGTCACAATCCATTTATTCCCTTTTTATAAAACTGCACTAAGTGCATTTCCCAGCTGCTCATTCTTGATTCTTCACTTAGATGAGAACCATGCAGTGTCAATGCTTGGCTGAGACCTCTGCCCAGCCAGACTGGAGCTCAGCCACCTACCTAAATCTCTCACGGTCTCACAGATTTCTCTGTTGTTCTCTGCCCTGCTGTCTTGTCAAGAGAGTGAAGATACAAAAATGCTACCTCTAATTTGTCACCAAATTTCAATACACATGTAAAAACTAAGAGTAGAAAATGAAGGAAATGTACTAAGAAGACCTGACTGGGAATAATCTTAGGTTAAAAACCTTAGCTACCGATACATAACAAACATGCATATCTTCAGGCTTGGACTTCCTCCCTCACAAGTATCCGGAACAGTATTTTCATTTAACAGCAAATAGCACCTTGCTTGCATCACAGACAAGTTTCAAAGCTTTCACTCTAAAGCAAGGGGCACCCGCACTCCAACATTTATACACCAAGTGCTCTATTTACTAATGTTTTTGGGAGATAATGACACATTTTGAAGAATATAATTTTTCATGCCACTGTCAGAAATGGCTCTCTACTTCTGTGAAGCCTCTGCAAAAAAGGAGAATCAGCCTTGTAGCAGACACTTGGAATAGAAAAAGTCTCAGCCTAAAGGGTCCAAATTTGGCAGAAACAGAGGTACGAAATGTGAAAGCTTATCATGGCCGTAAGTACAGGCAATAGAACCAGTTGTTCTAACTAGAGATTTTGCTCTTGTTCTTGAACCTATAATTTGGTTATTTTTTCAGAACAGAAACCTTTTAAGTATCTTTCTGCCTAATTTCTAATCAGCAATTTTCAAGTTTGACAGAGCACTGAAAACACAGCAGAGGAGTATTACAAGGAGGAGTAAAGAGCACTACTTTGAGACATAATAATCACTAGTCCTAAATTTTAAGCCAGTCATACAAAATCATTTGCTGTAGAGCAACTTAGTAGATGGCTCCCTCACACATATTGCTACATAATTATTGCTAACTCTGCAACTAAGAAATCTGAACTGACCAGGCACAGGACTTCTCTCAAGCATCTTACATTTATAAAATTACTCCTTTGTGCATTGCCCAGAATACACAGATAACTTTTCAGCTCAGAGAGACAGTCAAAAATATTCCCACTAACGATGATTTCCTCTGCTATGTACCTATTTTTGTCCTCTGCTGCTATATTTTAAGAAAAACGCTATTAACAATGTGGATGATGGACTCAGACTTGCCACTTTCTGTACTGGCTAGAAAAGTGCAGAAACAGCTGTTTCATCATGACTTAGTTTTGGTCTCTCATTAAGTTAGTCTTTCATCTGTTTTGAACCTTCCTGTGATCTAATAATCAAACTGATCAGTATGACCTGTTCTGTTTGTACGCCTTAGGAACAGATGGTATCTATGTATATAAAAAAATGGAGTTTTGGTCTTCAAAGAGAGTACACATAGGTAAGAACTACCTATGCACAGGTGGATTATTTTTTCTAAAATGACCAGGGAGAGAGAGCCTTAGAAAAAAAAACACATTCTACAGCATCAGAAAAGAGATTAAAACCTCGATCCGAGTCAAATTTTTCAGCTAATATATCCATAAGAGTTCATATATATTGGGGTAAAAAACATATTTGCTGCAAACACGGCAGAAGCATTTTTTAAAAAAAATTCTGCTGCAGGTGCTATGTCCAGATCCAATGTAGTAACAGACTTAAAAGGTAAGCTGAAAATACTGCTTGCTGACTTGTAAAGCATATTTCTAAGAATATGCAGTACATATATAACTTAATAATTTGCTGTGCTGTGACACTAACGCAATATTTTAACTTCACAGTTTCCTTGCACTTCAACAAGGACATCAACAAATCATCATCAGTTTATGCAATGGAAATATCTTAGATACAAAGTTAGTTTGGGATTTTACTATGTACACAAGGCCATCTCATGAAAAGAGTAGGCAGTAGCAGATTTGTTCCTGGAACTGAATTTTACTTCTCCAAGATTAACAGACATTCCATGCTAAAACAGCACGCAGCAGAAAACCAAGATTAACAAGGTATAAAAATCTGAGGGCTATCTGACTTTAATTTTTAAATTTACCCCTGAGACTTAAAAGTAGAGATATATTTTATCAACTTGAACAATAACAACACTTAGCTAGAAGTGTAAAGTCTGAAAAAGATAAACAGTAGTTCAAACTTATAACTGATGTAAGCAGATCCATTCCCAGATTCTCACACAACACCCGAAAACAGTTCAATGTCTGCAAATAAATAAAAAGTCACAGATATATGGGAGAAAAGAGAATCCTCCAAATATAGGTAAAAATGCATTTAGAGAAGGAAATTTACAAGATTAGATCTTTTAAAAATGCCTGAGATGTTTTGTTTTTACAGAAACTAACACCTCTCTTACCTTGGTTCGGTTGCATATTCATGTTTGGTCTGGGACCGTAGTTGCCCATCGGCTGTCCCTGGCTCATAGTCATCTGATTCTGCACTGGCATACTCTGTGAGGATGGAACTGAGTGATTATAGCCACCCATTGATCCATGGCTACTTGAAGGCATGTTCATGGAACTGTTTGTCATATTGAGTTGGTTAGGTCCAGGTCCTTGCATAGGCATGTGGTTAGGTCCTTCAGAAGGAAAAACAGGGAAAAAGGATCTACATTAAGCATCATAAAGCAAACAAATACAGTCACACTGAATCACAAAATTAAATAAAAGTCATTAAATACAATTACATTAAAAAAAAATTAGAACACAGTTTGCATGATTTCCCCACTTGAAAAAAATAAACAACAAAGTTCAGCTCTACTATGCAATACATTTTCTTTTGTTGAGCAGCTAAAAGGTGTAAATTATAATATAGCTCATCTTCTATCCATATCACACACAAAACTAGTCTGTTTAGTACTCACACAACACCTCCTGAATTTCAACTAGAATAGCACAAGACCAGCATAACAGCTAGCTTGGTGTCTCCACCACAGCTGCAATTATTACAATAGTTGTAACATTTCTGTGTAGTCCAACACCTATATTAGACACTTTTCTGAAAGTAACGGTTATTTATTATTATTTTTAAATTCAGGCAATATTAACATTGACATGGTACAACTACACAGAATCATAGAAACATTTTGGTTGGAAAAGACCACTGAGATCACCAAGTCCAACCATAAATTTAACACTGCCAAGTCCATCACTAAATGCTAACTTAGGCTGTGACTTTCACTCAAATGACTACACAGTCACCCATAAAAGATAAAGAAGGTGACAAACACTCCGTGGAGTCACTGATACAACAGCAAAGGCTTTTATGGAAAGCCTGTAAGTCAAACTCATTCTTCTATAGAGCTGTTTTAATGCCCCCGTAGATAAAAATCTAACCAAAAGTTATTTATTGCAAGAATAGGACTCCTGAGTTTATCTCCTGAGAAGGGAATGAGAACAAATGATAGTGGTAAGACATTAAGATTTTTTTCCCCTGGATGCTTCAATCATGACTTTTTTAAAAGAATGACTTGTAAATGGAAAGCATTAAGTGACCTTTATTGGCAAACACTGTCATCAGCTTTCCTGTGCATTAGTAAAAGAACAACCTCGGAAAACGGAGAAAGGTGGGAAGAAAAGAACAAAGCAAAAATGTTAAAGACAGTGTGCTGCATTTTTCCTACTTCTAAGTAAGGTGGAAAATTTCAATACAACAGAAAATCACCAACACTTTCGATTTGTAATTGTACTGGCATTGCAGTGATTCAGCTCATATGTGATCATTCATGCGTACAAAAAAAATGGCTGAAGGCATATTTAACATTTTTGAACATACAGTCTATAGCAAATATTCTGCAACTGTATTTAGAGATTAGTAGGGTGGGAGATGATTACTGGAAGGACAGACAGCAAATTATCAGCTCAACTTGTGAAGATGCAAAGGAAAAGCAACCTGTTCATAAACCACGAGGCCAGCAGCATCTTTTCACCTTTTATTTCCCCTCTTCCTGATAACACAGGTTGGATTTGGATTGTTCTCTGAATTAAAGCTACTCTCAATGGGTATTTTAACAAGTACAAACATTACAATACCATGTAGTCAGTTTATTCATCACTTTAGTTGGGATAGGTGAACAGCTACTAGGACCACAATTAGTAAGAGGTGTGACTGGATGTAACTATGACAAGTGAAAAAAGTAAATGAAATGGCAGGATTATGCCTATGACAAGCACCACATGAAGAGCTTCTGAAGATATGAACAACCAGAGTATGTGACAGACTAGGTCAACTCTGAACAAGGCAAATGTTGGTATGTACCGATTTCACCAAGGACATGCTACTGTTGCTAAACATGCCACAGGTTTTCTGTTAAGCTACAAAACCCTAAGAAAAGGGATCTAAAAGAAACTATGCCAGTAGAGTTGTAGGAAGACAGTGATTTGTTTACATATTTCCCAGTGGAAATTTAAAAAACTCAAACCAACCAACCAACCAACCAAAAAACACACCCCCTCAAAAAAAAAAAACAAAACACCAAAACAAAACAAAAACCCAACCAAACAACAAAAAAACCGACCACCACCCACAGACCTGTGCTTTCAGATGTGAACAGCTCCCCAAGTCCTGCTCTGGCTTAAGAAATAACTCCACTCATCTAGGGTAGAATGAAGGCAAATATAAGGACATAGAGAGCTGTACACAAGGTCAGAGAGACAATACAAACTGACCTGCAAACAAAAAGATGCAGAGGAGAAAGGTAACAATGATTAATGAACACAGTTACTAAAGCCAACGTGAAGAAACAGAGAATAAGTTTAAAAACACGTTTATCCTCTCGCCCTTTTCAAGACACCTTACTGAAATGAACACATAAACTTATTTTGTCAAGAAAAGTGAAAAAGCTGAAGCTAGAATGTAAGGATAAGGGAAAAGCTAAGACCAAAATATCAAAAAGCCTTGCAAATGAAAAATAATAAAAACACACTTCACAAATAATTTTTTTTTATCATTTGCCAAAATACTTCATGGGGTTCTCCTGCACATAAGGAAAAAACAATTGATTTTCTTTTTTTGTATGAATAAATGAAATAGAAAGAAGAGAATATGAATGAAGTATCTGCACTTTAACGTAACTGTTTTAAATGTAGTACTAATTAGATTTTGTGTTATAATAGTTAGCAGAGTAAGTATCTATCTTGACTATAAACAGAAGTCCTTCTTCCTCTTACCCACTTATAGACAGCACCTTAGCTCCAAGAACCTGTAAGCCAGACTAAGTGCATTTAAGCTTACATTTGCAGGAAGGAAAGCAGACTTTGAGAGAACTTGTTGGTAACACATAAGCACCTGTTATTCAGGAAGGTCACCTACCAATGTAAGGACAAAGGTCAGAGAACCCTACAGCTAGTCTTAACTTTCAACTTTTTACGTATGATAAAATCAGGAAAATAACTTGCCAGCAGCACAGCTCATTTCATCATCTCCTTCCAAATCCGGACCACTCTTACTTTGCATCACACTAACTCTCAAAGTAACTCTTCAAACAGTAATTTTTTCATCTGCAAACCACAATCTGTCGCAGGTACAGAAAACTCTCAATTGTACCACAGGCTGAAAAAGGTTTGCCATAACTGTCTTCCCCGGCCCGAGGATACAGACATTCACTTGTCAGTGGATGCAATTAATGGCCTCAGCAGCACTTCAGGTTCTGCACTAACAGAACATAAGTATGAGAAAAATCATCCTTTAAAGTAATGGGACGGGTCTAAAGAAGAACTTTAAGTTGACTCATGTCCTGACCATCACTAGACAGTTCTTTTTATCAACCCTTCCGCACATACTCAGGTCTGTGGAAGCCCCAGGTCAGGTAAGGCCTCCCAGAATCCTTAGCTAGCACTTTTTAAGAGCTTGTATTTTATTTCTTCCAGGCTGGTCAGGTTGCTGTCAACCCTGGATTCTCTCAGTTTACATATTAGGGACTTTATTCCTGTTAAGACAGATCATCTGCTCAGATATTTGTGGATTTGTATGTGTTTTCTATTACAAAGTGTCTATGTAACTTCAGAGTAAATGCCTTAAAAGAAGAAAGCAAATCCATACTCTGCAGAAATTACTAGAAATATGTCTCTCTGAAATACAGAAAGGCTCACATGCAGGTAAACTAACAAACACTTAAAAAATATGTGTAATTCAGCTATACAATTACCAAGATGATTCTGTTTCTCTTTTTCTAACGCCTACCTATGAAATGATTTTAGCATGCCTTTCCAATATTAGAGATGCCCTCATCCTAAGCTGTTTATCTTCACATCCTCAGAGACAACTTCAAACTGAGAAGGAAAGAACAGATCTTCAAAAAAGGGAATATGTTGGAAAGGCTAAATTAAAGCTTAGTTGGAATCTGTATTTAAGTATCTGTCTAGGTGAATACCAAAACAAACCTATTTACCTTTCACGTATTCATAAGAGCTCTTTTCTTATTCTATCTAATTACAAAATATGTATGTTTAAGGAGTGACTTTTCTCCCCCGTGGCTCTGCAGTGAAGTCATTATGCTCACATTGTGACTTAGTAATCCTTCTCCTTGGAAAAGATCAGTATAATAACAATAATATGATTACACTCGAGGGTCAAAGAGACTGATTTTTGAGACGCAATGCTATTCTCCATGGGAACTGATGGATTTTAGACGGATAAAGGACTCCACAATCAAAATATCTCTGCCCTAATTAGGGAGCAGCATATATTGCTCTTTACACTTCCAGATGCAGACCATGACCAACATGTATGATGAAACTAACTTCTTCTCTAGATCTTTTATTAGACTTCTTACACATGGCCTCTGGAGGCTATTCAGCTACTCTTTCAGAAAAGCTACCACTATCAGGTGGCAATATCAAGATTTGCACAGAAATGAGGGACTACAGCAATCATTGTATTTTTTACCTTATATTAAGTTTTGCAAAGTTATTTACTGTGTTTCCTGTCATGAAAGTTAATCCTTGTCACCAGTGAGAGATGAAATTAGTTCAGTTGGTTAGAACATGGTGTTGATAACACTCAAGGTTGTGGGTTTGATCCCCGTATGGGCCATTCACTTAAAGAGTTGGACTTGGTGATCCTTGTGGGTTCCTTCCAACTCAGAATATTCTGTGAAATCTGTATATTTTCAAGGATCTTTTGACAGTAGTTTCCTTTCTTCAAAGTATCAATACCTTGAAGAGCTTTTGTATGAAAACTTTCTCCATACAAAAAAGAAAAGAAAAAAAGGGGTCCTGAACAAAAGCAATCCTGGGAATGCAATTTTAAGCTGAAAGCCATTTCACATGAAATAAGTAGTATGACTTTACGAGTGGAAATTCTGGAATACAGCCTCTATATAAAGCAGCAAGTTTTTCCATGGTCTACTCCATGACTGCTAAAGGGAGTAGTTACCCCAAAGCCAGTACTGGTAGGTAAAACGTGGATTTTTATCATCTTCTTTCACTGCTTTGTTTCTGCCTTCCAAAGCACTTTTCTTTTTATTACAAAACAGGATGGTATAGAAACTGACTTAGAATTTACACCTAGAACAATAACCTGGAGGCCATTCCTTTACAAATCCCTTACAATTCAACATATCTTCAGTAATAAAGAACACAGAGGATTAGTGGAAGCTGGACAATCTTCAGTACAAAAACAATTTAAAAAAAAAAGACAAATCAACAAAAAACATTTACCCAAATTAGAAACACCCACTTTCAGATGTACCTATTTCATTATTATCTAATTATTTAGCTACAATAATTTCACATTATCTTTTTATGGAAGGATTTGTGTTCACTCAGCCACAGGCCAATACCTTTCCCCAATAAGCCTTCTAAAGCCAGCTGTACTGCACGGTTTCAAACAGACTAAATTTAGCCAGTTCTGTTCATCAGAGGAATGCTGTGTGTCAGCTACATCAAAGCCCAAGGGCAGCCTGATAAACACTGAATACAGGTCACGTAGCTCTGTAGCTAACAAACTCTAAGAGAGCTTGTACTCGGGGGCATTCAAAGCAGTTTTGTCATCAACAATCTAGTATCCCTTGAGCCCCCATGTCGTTTCAGTTGCCAGGCAACGCTGGTGTTAATGTCTTAGAGGAGAAAAACTTACCAGGCATCTGGCCGTTCATCTGGTTCTGCATGTGTGGTGCAGGAGGGCCCCCACCTACCATACCATCTGAAGACATGTTGTGCGAGCGTGGTGGTGGGGGAGGGCCGCTCTGACTCATCCCTCCCGGACCCATAGGCATATTCTGTGTGGGTGGCTGAAAGGAGACAGTTTAGTCAAACACGAGAAGCAGTTAGTCTGACAAATATATTATATGTACATACGGTACAGCAGTTGCCTATATTGTTCAGCGGGGTATGAAAGAAAGCACTGAAATGCATTTCTTGCTCTTTCTGATACATTTTAACTCCTCCCAACATTACTTTTGGCAAAACATTTAACATTTCAATCAATTTTACATGAAGTATTACTTGCAAACAACACCACAGCACCTTTGAGCATCGCTTTAAAATAAAAAAACACAAATCAATTCCTCATTAAAAAATTACATCTGAACAGTTCAAGACTGCTGGAGTCGCTCCCTCACACACACACAAAAGCTTTCCTTCAACAGAGAAATAAGTCTTCACTGTAATTCTCTCACATCAACAATTTGTTGCTGTTAACAGACCTTGCACAGGGACAAAACAGGTACAACATGAGATGAAAGCCTCTGAATGCTCATAGACTAGCAAAAAATTTGCACCTGGGTGTGGTAAAACACTAGCGATCTCTTCCCCGCTCTCCCCCAAAGCGCTGAAGGCCTAGTTCATAATTCCGTGCCAAACACCCCCTACAGACTGGAAGCACATTAGTGCTGGCCTCCAAAGGTCCAGAGACAGCTGCCTAGAAAGGATGTTTTTGGCAAATTTCCTAATGAAATTGTGAGGAAAATAACTGAATAACCTTGAGAGTTCAAAGAGGGAGAGCAAAAAAAACAATAAATACAAGGGGGAATTTACTGGTAGGTTCTATTCACGGCAATGTAAGGAGACGCAGAAACTGCTAGTAGCCAGCTTCATTTTCCTACTAAAAACAATTGTGAGACTCTACGATCCTCCTCACATACCTTAGCCAAACACTTTCAGGGGAATAAAAGTCATCTCTGTGAGAGTGAACACCTGGCGCTCTTGGCTTTTGAGGATTCTCTGTACAGGTCATAACTATCCATGAAAAACTCTTCCCATGACACAACCACATGTGCATTTTTCAATGTTTCTCTTCTTCAGAAAGAACCAGGGATGTGAACCCTAAGTTCCTGTCTAGCCCAGTGCGCTCTTACCCCTATACCTACTCATCAGGAGATTCAGACAAGAAACAATACAGTGGTAAAAAGTAAGGCTTTCCCAACGAGTGTGAGGTAGGAACCCTTCTTAGCCTTGGAGAGAGTAACATCAGGGTAACACAGATACACACATATTTGCTTGCCAGGGGAGGGGAGTGAACAGTATGGATTTACTGTCTTAATGTTTCTTCACATACCTCAAGTGGGTATCATTTTCCCTGCAATACTTTTAAGAATTCCTCAAGAACATAGTGAAAGCTATTTTTTGGAAGGAAGAAGGAAGGAGATGAAGAAAAATGCAAGCAAGCAGGCAAATTCTCTTACTAAATTCCTTTCATTCATCTACAATGAAGAGAATGACATTTTATAAGCAAGTTCCTTCCTCATCCTATAGCAGAAGTGACAGAAGGTAGAGAAGGTAAGAGTGAAAGGCAGCTCTACTCTCCGAACTGCTTCATTTGGTTGTTTTTCCTCCACTAGTGAGCAACCAAATCAAGGCCGCTTCACCTCAGTTAAATCTTCCTTCCCTTCACTTTCAAAACTCACTATCGTGGTAATTTGCATGTTACAGAAGTTATCTAAAACTGATATACAGAGAAACTAACAAAAAAAGAAAACAAACAGACTATTTTTAGTTTTTATTTAGAAAGTAGGTTTAGGAATACCAGCAAAACCAACACACTTGGTACCTCCACATGAGCAGCCAGAGCTCAGAGCCTAACAGCAGTCCCATGTCAGCAAACTGAGAGCAAAGTCAGAAACCACTGAAGCTGAAATGTTTTCAGAATTAAAATTAACTTCTTAGATTCCAAGCATAAAACATTAGCAAATCCAATGTTCATATAACATGCTGATAATGAAAAATACTATAAAGTACTAAAAAAGATTAGACCCTACCTAGGTTTTAGCTATCCTGCAGGTGATACTGCACAAACATAGGCATGCCCTTATGCATGGAAAGAGGGAAGAAAAAACTCCAAAGGTTAAGTGAGAAAAACTACATTCCAACTCTAAAATTTAAGTCTGGAAGTTTTCAAAGCAACTCTCCTTTAAGACAAACACTGCAGTTATCAAAAAAACAGAATAAGAATGCAAACATGCAAGGACAGGGGAAAAAAAGTATTAAGGACTTTAAAAATCCCATTAGATACAAAAACCTGCAAGAGACTCCACAAACCACAGGGAATTAAGAGAACTGAGGGAGCAATTAAAAACACTCAAAAAGGTACTACCAGAAAATAACTCAGCAAAAGGAGCTCCTGGATATAAAAAGAGCCCAAAGACCTGTGTGAACCCGCTTCAAATTCTTGAAAATAAGGCAAGAAAAAGGACCAAACTGCTAAAAAAATCTAATCTTCCATTACAATAAACTACCCTATAAGATGACTAGAAGGTAGAAAAACCCTGTACCTCTATTTATAAAAAAGTAGTGGGACTAATTCTAGGAATTATGTGAGGTTTGCTCCCTGGGTTACAGATAAAATTATGAAAATAATTAGAGTATCATAAAAAGCCAATGGTAAAAAGTTAGTAAAGTGTCAATACAGTAAAGTCAAATCTTTCTAATCTATTAGAATTTTTAAAAATATAAATATAAATTAAACCACCTAGATGCATATTTAACAAAATCTTCTTAATACAAGTTTTTTGACAAAGCCTTTTGGAGAAATATGTTGTTCAGGGGTACACACTTGCACTGATCAAAAACTGCCCAAAGAAGCTGAAAGAATAAAGGAACATATAGAGGTCTCCTGAAAATACGTCTTAGTAAATATCAACATCTGAAGATACTGCACCATTACTGAACAGAAGGTGCCAAGTAAAATTCAACAGGGATAAATATATGACAAATACACTGAACTGTGAACCATTCTTTCTTCAGAAAGAGGAAACTCCTATTGCCATTAACCCAGAGAAAAAATAAATGACCACAACCCAGACAGTTTGCTGGGGAAAAAAAAATCAAATAAAACCCCCCAAAAACAAACAGAAAACTCCAAAACTCATAAAAACTATTCATGATACCCATGGTCAGTACTTGATATATCAAAAGTGACTTGATATATCAAGAGTGACGTACAACGTGAAAGAAAAAAAGGTCAAGGTATTTGTGATCATGATACACGTTCAGTTTGGGGAAAGCAATCACCAAAAGATACTGTAAAAACGGAAGGATTCTGAAGACAGGCAACAGTGATTAAAAATTCTGAATGTTATCACCTGAAACAAGTCAAAAAGGGCAGGGTTTTTTTTATATAAAAAGGAATTTAACATAAGAGGATATGACAGAAATACAATATAATGTATGATACACACAAAAAGTAGATCCTTCAATTTACGGTTTAACAACAAAAAAAACCTCAGGAGAACAGTCAGTAAATGGACGAACAACATTAAACATACAGGGCACCACATAAATCATATAAACCTGAGGAATTCATCAACACAAGACACTAGAACAAAGTTTAAAAAAGGTTCAGAGATAATTACACATACATATATGCAATAGAAACAGTTATACAGAATACTATATAGGATATTTTAAAAGTGTATTACAAGCCTTCATGTCAGATCATAAACCAATCACTACCTGATAGTAATTAAAACAAAATGTCTCCTGCAGATATAATTATTCCCCAGTGAAAATCCTCCAGAGTATTTTTCTACTGGACGCAGACAGAAGAAAACAAGAAAAAATTGTTTTAAAATGGCAACTTCCCTATTTCTATTGGAGTTGATCCAGGCTTTTACAGACGATAAACTTCTTTAAATCAGATTTAATTAAAATACCCCACAACAATAATCAAACAAAAAACCCAACCACATAGCCTGGGTTACTTAACCTTTTTTGTTCTTTACAGAAGGAAATTGACTACTCCCAGTAACATGCTCTACACGTGGTGAAGATCCTTTAAAATACAAAAGGATCACACAGTACTCAAAAAACCCAACCCACCCATTGTGAAAGGAAAGCTACCCAACATGAACCCTACCCATTAAGTCTAGTTATGAAAGGTGAAATGACATACAAATGTAGTAAGGTTAACAGAACCAAAGGAAAGGCTACTTCCCTCCTGCTGGATGCATGACACAAAGGAATGAAAATTAAAATCGCTGATGATTTTATTCCAATTATGAAGTAGAAAATGTTAAATATTTTGCTATCAGTAAAAAGTAAATTAAAGAATTAGATGATGTGAGACATAGTTTCACTTGCTAAACACTAATTTTTGGCTCATTTCCCCAAACACACAGATTACATTTATAGCTGCTATGAGCATTTAAAATTTATCAGAGCATGAAAAACAATAATTGTAAGCTATTTAGTCCAATTCTGCAAATTTGAACTGGAAAAAGACTGAAACTGACCCAATAGCTGCAACCAAAAAAAGAGACAAGAAAAACAAGAGACAAGAAAAACAAGAGACAAGAAAAAAGAGACAAGACTTTAACTGACAACTTTCAGCAAACAAAATCCTAGTAAATCCAAAAGTTATTTGAAAGCATGCACTGAAAACAATAGCCACACTGCATTTTTTTAGAGTTTTTTCTTTTAAATAATAAATTAGATCAAATGAAAGACAGTAACACTAAAATCTGCCACGGTAGAATTGCACACCTGGAGTTTTCAAAGATTTATTTATGGAACTTCTATTGCTATAAAAACTGAGGTGGAATACCAACTCAGTCACCAATAAAATGTAAAAACCAGGAACTCCTGTTACACACATTAAAACACAGTATAGCTAATCAATACAACTGGCAATAGATATTTAAACTACACTATCAAAAATACAATTTTCCTGAAATTCTCTCAGAATAACAATTAAAAGCTACATGGAATACAAACACAAAACCCTTCTGATCTTTCCAACAGAAGCCTTAAATGAGGATTTAATCAATCATTTTTGTTTTCAATTCTCAAATACCAT